AACTTATTTTCAATGAGAAAACGGGCGAATTCGTGTCTTTGCGTTCACATAAAGTCACAAAAAATATATTAATCAAAATTAACATGTATTATACTAAAGTAATACAAAAAATACTACAAAAGATTTATAAGTGTGTAGTTTTTCGAGATTTACGATTACTGTACCGTAAATCACGAATCAGTCCCCAAATGTAGTCTGCCATCATGTTCTCGTTATACTGTCTTTGGTAGCGGCATTCAAAGTCCAGTATATCCTGGTAGAAGCGCACACCTTGCTCCTGCGAGTACGCTCCCATGTTCTTTAATTTATCAAGATGAGCATCAAGGAATTGGACTTTGAGGGACATCCTACAGCCCAGTGTGCCGTAGTTCTTCACCAGAGTCTCAACCAGCTCCACATAGTTTTCGACCTTGTGATTGCCCAGGAAGCCACGAACCACTACGACAAAGCTGTTCCAAGCCGCTTTCTCCTTACTAGTGAGCTTCTTCGAGGAATTCATTGCACTCCAGGATCTTCTTCATCTGTGATCCGACAAAGACACGAGCTTTGACCTTTGCCTCAGACAGCTTAGGGAAGAAGTATTGAAGGTACTTGAAGGCTGCTATCTACAGCTCTGACAAATTGTTTCATGAGACCCAATTTGATGTATGGTGGTGGCATCAGCACCTTCTGGGGGTCCATCAGTGGCTCCCACTTGACGTTGTTCCTCCCCATAGAGAACTAGGTCCGCTGTGGCCAGTCCCGCCTGTGGTAGTGCGCCTTGGTGTCCCTGCTGTCGCAAAGGCAAAGATAGCAGGCCTTGTAGGCCTCACACATCTTAGCAGATGCTTCCACAGAGTACATTTTCGCTCTTGTCTTCATAAATTGGCCGCAGACATAGCAAAATGCATTTGCCGGATGCTTGTAGCCTCGTGATGCCATCTCAGAAAAATGCAGATATGTATCCTCTTAGGCAGCTGTAACTAAACTGAACTGGTGGGATTAAGGCCCCTGTATTTATACTATTCATATTACTGGAAAGTTCTAGAATGTTCTAGAAGTTACTCCAAGTTTACTCAGCACTGAATCTATCTGAAATGTTCTGGAAAATAGGTAAATTTCTAAATATCATTGTCCTGGTCACAAAAGCAAAATTTGGGGGAATAATAACCATGTTCTGTACTTTTGAGGCATAAGCAATTAGGAAATAACACTTACAACCCAGGAACACAAAACAATTGTTACACTGTTATCAGAGCATATTTTGTTTGTTTAATGCAGACTTGATTCCTTGTGAAAGGTATCTATTTGGTGTTTTGAACATATAACACCTGCGTTAGGTCCACTTGGCGTAAAGACAGGAAGAACGGAACTTTTGAATCTGCAGCCACGGTGGTCTGGAGCGGTCTGCCAAATGGAAGTTCGTTCAGCCGTGACAATCGGTGCCTTCAAGACCGGACCTAAAAAAAACACGTTTATTTTCTCTTCTGCTCCTTGCGTTGGAGATCAATTTTCTCGATGCCATCCTCGCAGCCGTCTGAGCTTTTTGATGGATATGGAGCGCGTTACAAATCTTGCGGATTGGTTCCTTGACAGCAACCAGCAATGGCCATGTCTTTTAGTTCAATGCCACATGGCAAAAACAATCCTGGACTCTTCGTAACCCAGTGGTCATCACTCTTGCCGTCCAGTTTTGCAAAGTCAAGGTTCTAAACGAAACTATTTGTATATTACCAGGTAAGGCCCAATGTGCTGTATATCTCTTTTTTTCAGAAGCGTCCTGGTCACAAATGATGTCTCAATGAAGTGGCTTATCACGTGGGCATTTATAGCAGCCAATTACTCTAAACGCGTGATGTTCATTTCAAATGTGGAAGGAAAAAAACCCGGAGAAAATCCACGCGAGAGAGAGAGAGAGACATGCAACCTCAAAATATACAGCAGCAGCAGGCGTCAGGGTCGGGGTCGAACCCACGACCTCCTGTATACCAGGCGAGGTAGTGAACATCTCGCCACCGTTCGAGCCCAGCTACCACGAGTCATCGGTGTGTCTGCGCCAAATCCGCCACCATGAGTTGCGGGCCCCACCGCCAAACCCCAAACATCCCGGTTTCGTGCAAATAAATCGTAAGAGTCGGTTAATGAAATGCAACATTGGCATTGTTTCTCAAAGTGAAGTGGCTCGGGCAGAACACGTTGGTCGAACGGATGGTGGCCGACAGTCAAGACTGGTGACGGAGTGTCGGCCAGGCGATGGAATGTGTCTGAGCGAGGCCGTCGAGCGGGGAGACGGAGCGATGAGATCAGCTCGCGTGTGCAGGTGCTAGGTGGATTAATACGTCGCAGAATCGTGAGAGACGGCGGCGGCTTGGAGATGTCTTCATGCAGCAGTGGATGGACCATGGTTGAGGATGGTCATGATGGCATTATTTTATAAATATAAAAAATAACAGTAGTTCTTAATGTAATGGTATCGTTACGACGTTCTCTTTGGCGAAGGACAAAAATGAAAATCGAGTGTGCTATGAAGAAGGTCCATTTCCCTAAAAGCCACCAAATATATTGTTTCTTACGTATTGTGCTGATTTGTTTTTATTTTTATCTGTGCTTCTTCACACCACTGCCAACGCACCGCCACCACCACCAGCGGCACCACCGGATAATTAGTTTAAAATACGGTGCTGAAAAGAGTTCGTCGTATCTGGCAGCGCAGTATAAAAGAACAGCACTCGTACGGCGCGGTGATATTATGAATGAATATCGCTTTACACATTGCGGATCGCCCTCTCTCTCTCAATTGCCTACAGTTGCTGGCCGCGCCTGCCACGGACAATTCAATTATAACGCAACCCACCCCTTCTCCCCACTCACCCCCCTTCTCCTCTTCCTGTTCAAAAGAGCCCTCGCTTGAAGCCCCCATCTACCCGCGCCAACATCCCAGAATTCGCATTAATGCGCTCGCCCGCTCAACGCCCCTGCGAGTGTTACTGTTGGCACGTCGTCAACATGTGTGCACATATGACGCGTCGACATGTCCAAACCATTTTATTCACAAAGTTCATTTCTATTTTCAATACTTCTTTTTCATGAGGGTCATGATAAGTTTGACACAAGTGGTGGTGGTGTGTGGGGGGGCGATGATTGCTACTTACACTCCCAAGTAAATAATCTGTGGATAATGTATCGTGTTGTTGTGACGAAAGTGAATGTGCAAAGTACGCCACTTCTTTAGTTTGTTGTTTAACTTGCGCGTGGATTTAGCTGTAGGCTTAGCCGTCGTCTGCGGGGTTGGTTGCTGGAGCGCACGCAGCAATCGACGCGTTCATTCACAACCGCGACACCGAACTGGCCAGTGCGATGGGACGAACGCAGTGCAGTGGAACGCAACGATGCATGTTGGTGGGTGGAGGGGAGGGGTGTTGAGAATTGCGATGAGCGCTAGAAGGAGGCACACACGGACACCGGGGCTAAGAACGCACATCAAAGCCGTTCACCGTGTGGGAGTACTGTCATTTGGTAGATTCGGAGTGGGGTCCATCGCTACAAGATGACGGCGGTCCGAGGACGAGAGTTAGTGACAGGAGTTGCAGCCAATGGAGGGAAACTGCGTCCAAGGAGGCGGGCCACCGCAGGAGATGGAGCTTGGATATAATCTCGTATTTCCTCGGAACTGAGATGGATGTTGTAGCAGCACTGGACCGTGATGGAATGTCGACGGCGTGTAAAGGGCCTTAGATCCAGCAGTGGATAGACATGACATTGCTGCTGTTGATGACGATGACTACAATTCTTACAATACCAACCAACGCATCAGTTCATCCTTCGCTCGTTTGTGTCGAGTCAGTATTATTTCATTCCCGTGGATGTTCGCCCTACCGCTGCTCGGTGTACAGCAGCAGCAGCATTATCATCAAAGCGTGCGACCTAAATAAACTTTCGGGTTTTTAACAAATAAAAGGCATATTTAGTGGGAATCGCTCGACCGTGCCAGCAACAAGCGTGGAGACTGCCTCTCTCTCTTTCTCTCGCGCTGTGGTGACGACTGCGCTCGCGTGCCTGGGGTGGGGGGTGGACGCGGTGGAGACGAACTGGGGACCCAAGTGGGAGCGGGTGGGGTGGTTTATGGAAAGAGTGGGCGAGCTGCGGGGGTGGTGGTGAGAGAGGGAGGAGAGGAGAGGGGGTACGCGTCCTACCGCTGCTGTGCTGCTGGTGGTGATGGTGGTCTGTGTGGACGTGGGGCGGGAGGGGGGGTGGGAGGAGGCGGGGCGCTGTAGAGGATAAAGCGCAAGTCTCCTCTCGCTCCGTGCGTGAGTCGACGCGTGCTTGCAGCCAACGCACTCGCTACATGAGAGCGAGAGAGACATCGCGCCGAGAACTCATCTCTCCCCCACCCCATCATCATCATCATCCCTCCTGTGACGAGTCAGCTCCTGCCGTGGGGCATCTCGAGGGCCGGGATTGTGTGCGCGCGCGCGTGCTCGCTGCCAGCACTTGCCGCAGCATTCTGTGAAGGCTAGACGGGGGATCTTTGCCTCTGTGTGTGGACGTTAGTGGCCGTGTGGACACTGCACCCGCGTGGCAAGACGCTCGCAACCTTTTAAGGTAAAACAAACAAACAAAATCACAAACAGCAGAGAGTTAAATGGCTGTTTTGATTTTACTCCGGAGCGTTTTGCGTGCGTTTGTCGCTGTGGGCAGCGCAGTGCCAGGGCAATGATTTAGATCTTCGACACACACACACAGAGAGAGAGGGAATTCTGCTCCATTTGGCGGAGGAAGAGAAAAGGAGCTGTCACGAGGTTGTGTGTCCCACGCTGCTTGAATTCGAATAGGGCCGTGAAAAGGGGCTTGGACACCCATCATAGATGTTTGTTAACTGCATCGCCCGAGGAAGAACATAGGGCAATTCAAAACTTTACCGCTATCACGGCCTCTGCCGTTCGTCGCGCATTTGCTCTGAACAGAAAAAAAGACATCCGCAGCCGTGTCGAGGAAGATGGCAACCGACGGTTCGTGTACGCTGCTGCCGCTAGTCGCCGAATTTAACGACGGAGAACGCCAGCGTCGTCGAAGATCTGCCGTGACCTCGGGTCAACCCCCCCAAATCCATGCGGCATGACCTCCCAACATCACTACAGCACGGCAACGCCGAGCCCGTACGCGAACCAGTTTCCCCACTTGGCGGCCAACGGCTCCATGGACGATGACATCTCGAACGAAACGGACAATCAGTTCGAGCAGGCGGGCTGGCAGGTGGCCGCCTGGTCGCTGGCCTACACGGCCGAGGTGGTGGTGGCCGTGCTGGGCAACCTCGTGGTCATCTGGATCATCCTGGCGCACAAGCAGATGCGCACGGTGACCAATTACTTCCTGGTCAATCTGGCCTTCTCGGACGCGTCCACGGCCGCCTTCAACACCCTCATCAACTTCACGTACGCCATCAACAACGAGTGGTACTACGGGGCCGCCTACTGCCGCTTCCAAAACTTTTTCCCGCTGGCTGCGATGTTCGCCAGCATCTACTCGATGACAGCCATTGCCGGCGACAGGTAAGACTGAACGCCAACACACGCGCACGCACGCGCACACGTGTGATGGGGAGCGGTGGTGTAGTCGTGGTGAGCGCGCTACGCTACGTGCCCGGCCATCCGAGCATCGATTTCCGATGACGGCTAACACCTGTGACGATGCTCGTAAACCGGTCCTGGGCCCACCACGAGGTCGACTCAGCCTCAGATGATGCACCTAGTACGGTGCCGTCAACATCGCGGACCTGCGTGGTGCTGGTCACCCACACCCCCTCGTGTGCCGTGCCGGTAGCCTTCATCGGTGCTACTCGCTAACAGCACTTGCCCCGGCAGTCTGTGAAGGCCATACGGGGTGGGGAGTCTTTGTACTCAACGAACCTCAGCCACCAACGCCGCGCTGCATTGACCAGCATGGTGAAGTATGGTCAACATTCCTCTTGTCCCCCACCCTCCCCACCCTCACGACCGACACGGCGTGGAGAGGAGGCCCTCACATAGATGTGGATTGTAGCGGTGTGGGGCATGACGCAGTGGCGTAGTGGTCGGTGCACTGCACCACGACACCCGTTGAAGTGACTTGGGATCCCCAGTTTTGTGGTGAAATATGGTCAAGGGGCGACGGCACATCGTGGGGAGGCTCGCATCCAGCAGTGGATCGAAAAGAGGCACTGTTGATGTGACGTCTAATTCCGTGACACATCCTCTGCAGTGCCCTGACCACCGCGCCACTTGTCCTATCATCATCATTATTATTATTCCAGGACAGTTGTCAACGTTCAGTTTTGCGGTTCAAACTTGCGGATTTTGTAAATCTGTTCGCTCCGCCCATTTTAGGGGTAACCAATGCACGGTTATGATTGTCGTTCGGATTGTCGTTCGGATTGATGTTTGCACGTTCCGCTTCCTCGAGCTTCTTCATCTTCTACTTCGCGAACCGGCTCAAGCTAAAATTAGTGAAGCTCACTCAGCCGCTAAAATGCAATTCCTGCAAAAGAAGAAAAAAAAAAGCGAAGGAGCTCCCAGCACGTGGAGCGAAACGTCGGACATCGCGCCGAACAACACGCGGTACAACCAGAAAACAAACCAAAAAAACACATCGGAGGAGATTCGGCGTCAGGGACAAGCCGCGTGGCTTTCTTCTCGTCGCGATGCACTCAGTGCCACGGGGAGGTCGCGCAGCGAGGTGGCGCAATCTGTTGAAGGCGCATTTCTGCAGGGTGCCACACACGGCAATTGTCCACACTCCTCCTCCTCCGTGAACAACGATTGTTCTACGCAGTGCCGGATTAAGCTCGCGCGGGGCCTGTAGCATATGATGTTATAAAGGGGCCCTAAATAAAAATTAATAAAGCATAAATATTAAAAATAAATGTTTAACTTGCATAGTGAATTAATTGTATTTTTTCATTTGATATAACAGCCAAATAATACGACAAATCGCTAACCTTAAACGCCCAGTCGTTCATAAAAGTTGAAAGGCGGTACAGTACTATAGTAGTAGAGCAAGTGCAGAATCACTGAACCGGAATTGATAGCTTGAAAACATTGAGCGCGGGGCCCTTGAAAGTGTGGGGCCCGTAGCATTTGTAGCTACTTGTGCCTGTAGGATAATCCGGCACCAACCCCCCTCCCCATTGAGATGCACGTAAAACAGATAAAGGCGCAGCCCTGCAATTTTTGGAATGGCCTCCACTAGACGGAGCTCTTTCATTATAGAGAGCCCCCACACCAAGAGGGTATGGCGGCCTACTCTTCAGCGCTGGCCAGACGCCTTGGACGTGGTCTGAGTACCCACACTTCACCCCACCACACGCCACCTGTCGGTTGACTGCGATGCACCAATGTGTACTGCTGGGTGGACAGAGGCGATCGTTGGGTGGGGGCCGGGGAGGGATTTTAGAAAATTGCTTCCACTGCCGCGCCGGGAGATCGAACAGGCGACCACGGGATGAGCAAGTCCGGTTGCGATAACCGTCACACTGCGACAGTAATCCGCACGTGCGTAAAAGGACATCGACACGAGAGAAACAAAAACACACACACACCTACGCGACTATCGGCATTCCAGGCCAGTTTTCACCGCTTGTGGGTTTCACCAGCAGACCCCGGACGTGCTAAACAACCCGTGCAGATCAGATGTGGGCTGTGGGCAGATAGGAGAGTCGGTGCGCGCGTGCGTGCAAGCTACATTGTTTGGCGCGCGTGTCGGTGCTGTTTGTTTCTCTCCGTTCTAACGAGCGCCCCGAATCAGCGGATGGGGGAGCACGCGAATTCCCAGTGACTCGCGCTGCTGCATCAACCGGGCCTCGTATAGGCTCAGCGGTGAGAGCTGACGGGAGTTGGCAGCCTTGCGGGTTCGGAGCCGCACGCGGCTTTTTAAAATGTCTCCTTCGCTTCGTTCCTTCGTTTCTCAGTCTGCTCGTCCTGGTAGGGGTCGCGGCAGCAGCGTGTTGAGTCGTGGCCACGGTCCAGATCTCGCTTTCCCTGGCGACGGACTCCAGCTCTACATTACTATATACTACTACACTACACACTACTATACACAGACTCCCCTAGGCGTTCCCAGGCCAGCCGAGCGACATCGTCCCGCCGCCAGCAGCAGCGTGTCCTGCGTCGGCCCCGGGGCCTTATTAATGACCATGGTCTCGTATTTATACGCATTGCGGCTCTTTAAATATTGAAGTTTTTTTTTTGTTACCAAAATCGCAACCAACAAAAAAGCCTCGACTTGTTATTTTGGTTGCCGAGCAATGAACTGGTGGCTCTCAAGCTGAAGATTGGCGAGTTCTACGATACGGTTGGGGAGTGAACTCAGCTCATCATCACTCCGAGGTTGATACAAAAAAAGCTAAACGAGTACCACATTCTGGGGAAGTCAACAGTGATTGTCCCACGGATAGACTCGTCCCTGCCATAGCAACGTGGACTTTCTTTCCACTCGCTCAGGACTGTGAACGAGAGATGAGCACAGCCTGAATGACTCCACACATTCGTCAATAGGCGACGTTCCGGGTAATGGCCCTTCTGCATAGCACATGCACCCTTTTATTTGCGACGAAGGAACAGTTGCCCGAAACGTCGCCTATTATTATAGCCCTTTTGCGTCCAAGGCCACACAGCGCTATTGAAAAATGCGTTGAGTTGTCTTCTGTTAATTGTGCTTGTGCATCACTGCCAACGTAAAAAGCAGCAGCAGCAGCAGCAGCATCGCCAGCGACTTGGTTTGATTCCTGCAGGAGATCATTCTCTCACTTGCCACTGCATTGGACAATCCTGCTGAGGACAGCGGATACCAGTCAAGTCCGTCTATGGGGGGGGGGGGAGAAACAAAGAGCTTCATAGCTCATCGGATTCCTCCAGTCTATATAAACGCTCTGATTCTCGCCGTGTCTCTGTGAGGGTGGGTAAGCTGCCCGCCACCAGTATACCACCAAGGACTGTATCTGCACGCGCAGCAATACCCATTGGTGCGGTCCAGTGCACCGTTTCTAGTAAACGTGGTCTGCTGATCAATATGCCTGCTAAGTGGCACTTAATACGCGTCGCGATATTATTGAGCAGATTGAACTAAATGACGTGAAATGTGTTCGGCTTATGTAATACCCTCGCGCGCACAGCACCTCAATGTATGAGCTTTGGCGCAGTGGGGAGCGGTGGTGCAGCGGTTAGCGCTACGCTGCGCTACTGGCGACCCGGGTTCGATTCCCGCTCACGGCCAGCACCGGTGACGAATATCTGAATCGGTCCTGGGCCTCCCCTAGGTCGACTCAGCCTCAAATGAGTACCTGGTGTGACGTGTAGTAAACATCGCCACGAGGGAGACAAAGGCGGCCGGGCGTGGTGTTGGCCACCCACACAGCGCCGGCCTCCATAAGCGCTCGCGAACAGCACTTGCCCCAGCAGCCTGTGAAGGCTCTACGGGGGATCTTTGTCTGCTTGCCGGGAACAGACAATCTCAGCGGCGAGTGTCGCCTGAAGCCACCCGAGGCAATGTCTCCCTCCGTGCGAGTGGACGTCGTGGGGAAGTATGGGGCCGTACATAAATGACGTCACGCACCTAGGGGGGGAAGTAAGACATTTGTGACGATGTGTGACGAGGGGGGGGGGGGGGGGTTGAGTGAGAAATGTGATGTCAAGTAAAAATGCGCAACTTTAAATAAATATAGACAACACGTTCTACTTGTCTTCTTGGTTCTTTATAATAAAAATAAAACATAATAAAATAATTGTATAATGTTTTATTTTTATTATTTTATTATTTGCCTTCTACGTGACTTTACCGAAAGAACCAAGAAGATGAATCCCTGCAGTCACGAAAGCTTTAAATCGAAATTTAACGTTCTACTTGATTAAATACACTTTTTTATAAATGTTTTCTCCTACAACATCAGAGTGCAGCGCCACATTAATTACGCACTACAATGACAATAGTTTAAAGCGATTTGAAGCATTTTTATTTTGGGGGGGGGGGAGGCAGAGCTTTATGACGTCACATTTGAGGGGGGGGGGTCTGACTATTTGTGACGCCGTGTGACGAGGGGGGGGGGGGGGTCAAAAATCGTCCAAAATCGCGTGACGTCATTTATGGACGGCCCCTATGGTCAAACTCTCCCCGCGAGCGACAACAGAGAACGCATGACCGATAGTCCCATCGCGTGACCGCTACCATTCCACCGCGATCACCAGGAGCTGTTCCACTGCTGGATGAAAGTCCCCCCCCACAATTAAGACAACACATTATTGGCGAACGCGTGATTGATAACGGGCCGTAACTCAACGGCACGTAGGTTTACGAAGCCTGCACACACGGCCCAGAGGAGGAGATGGGGGGAGATGAGCGGGAGATGCCATGGCGAGAGGCGGAGGAGGCGGGCACCCGTCATCAGGTGTGCAAAGCAGACCGCGATTCAATAGCCACAGAGCCCTACCGCGCCATGCGTGACTTGAATACAACATGGTAGTCATTCTCTAGCCGCCAATGGATGAAGGTTCCCATCAAGTCGTTACCATCTCTATATAAC